TTTTCATTTTGTTGTGGCTGCAGTTTCTTTGTTTGTCTCTCTCTCCTTCTCCTCCGCGCTAGGCCTAGTCTAAATATGATGATGAACCACACTGGTGGTGGCAGCTGCGATCTGTCTATGGACGGGATGTCAGATATGGACGGCGGGAGCATGATGGGAGGAATGGGAAAGGTGATCATAGTATACATAATATTCTAGTTTTATTTTTCTACACTTTATTGTAGATGTATTTCCATTTTGATGCCTGCCAACGCCTTCTCTTTAGTTCTTGGAAGATAACAAATTCAAGAGGTACACAATTCATTGTATCATAATGAAAATGGCTTGTTTGTTGGCTCAAGCTTGCCTTGTGTCTTTAGATAGTCATTTAAAATAACTTTCTGTGGATGTCCGCTACTTGTCTATTTAGCTTGTGTACATTTATGTAGTTTATAAAGAGTAATGGTTGACTCTGAGATCATAATAAATATGGAGTACTCTATAGGCCCTTGGCCAATCTGATAACCAGTCACTACACATATTCATTTATATTCTTTCTCTTTCAATTAGAGCTGATAGGTGCTATGGTAGCAGTCATTTTAATGGCTATTCTCTACGAGGGGCTTAAGAGCCTTAGGGAGTGGCTCATTTATTACGATCTAAAAAGATCCAAAAAGAACAAGAAGAGATCAGATTCAACTAATAATGAGAAAGACGACAAGATGGAGCTGTTGGATCCAGAAAAGAAATCAAACAGGTATGCCTGGAAATAAATAAATAAAATAGTACATTAATATACATTAGTATGACCACCAGTATACAATCCACCATTTTGCTTTATTTAATGACACGTGGCTACTAAATCGCCAATCCTATAATTTTTTTACAATAATTCTCGCCAATATTAGCAGCTGTGTGGTAGTTTGTACTCTGTGGCATGTGACAGTGACATATAACATGTGACAGTGTCTGATAGTTTTGGACATTGTTTATATAAACAATACTTATAATATGATTATAACGAGTGGTTTCCTTCTCTTCTCTTTGTAGGGTAAAGTCCTTCTCCATTAGTCTAAGCATGCACATCATACAGTCCCTGCTTCATGTGGTTCAAGTTGGGTATGGCTACATTCTAATGTTCATTGCTATGACTTTTAATGGATGGCTATTCCTCTCCGTTTGCTTTGGTGCCGGGATTGGGTATTTCATTTTTGGAAAGACCAAGCACATATTTGGAGTCAATAATAGAGACCAGAATGAACACTGTCATTGAAATACATGTATTATGAGTATTATTATTATTATTATCATTATTATTATTATTATTGTGCTAGAGCTATTATGCTTCTGTAAAAAAGATTCAATTGTTTTTAAGGACATTAAAAATTGCTTTTATAATTTATTCTCCTGCCTGTGGTCTAAAGGAAAACTATGAATCTAAGGATTTAGATTTATTTAATTAGATTTAAAATGGCTGAAACTGGGGGTTTGTTTGGAGCAGAGATTAGAGATGAATTCCAGCTAAGCAAGGAGCTAGTTCATCTCAATCATGGCTCCTTTGGTTCTGTCCCACGCTCTGTGTATGAAGCAAGACTGGAGCGGATGAAAGAGCTCGAGATCTGCCCGGATGATTGGTTTAGATACAACTTTGTGCCACTCGTTAAAAAAGGATCCGAAACAGTCTCGAAGCTAATTGGTTCCTCTTCATCAGAAAATGTAGTATTTGTAGAAAATGCTACTGGTGGCGTTACAGCTGCGCTACGGAGCTTAGGCTTAAAAATGCAACCCAAAGCCGGCCTCTTGGTAACGGGTCTTTCTTACGAAGCAATAAGACACACGGCACACAAAGTCTGCGAAATTGAAGGTCACTTTGTTCTTCACACCATCAACCTTGATCCACCGTACAAAGACAAGTTTGAAGTAGTCCAGAGATATCGGGACTATCTCTCGTCTCATTCCGACATCCATGTTGCTATCGTGGATCACATTACTAGCCCCAGTACTCTGTTGCTCCCAGTGAAAGAGATAGTATCTGTATGTCATGAGTTCGGTGTTGCTGTAATCATTGATGGAGCTCACGCCCCAGGACAAGTGGAGATCAATGTGGAGGACATTAATGCAGAGTTTTACACAGGTAAACCCTGCTCTTTCTTTCTCCACTTTATGTAGTTAACTATGTTTTTGAATTAAAAGTAATTTCAGGGACTTGTCCCTTTCAAAAATTGTATAGAAGCTTAACCGACTATTACGACGCACCTACCCTCAATGAAATCTTTGTGCCCTTTTATAGTTGACAAAAGCAACAATGCTATCGTGGGTTGCCCTAAACTTTGAGCTATGAATATAGTTAGGTTCATGTTTTTGTGTAGTAATGTAAACAGTTCTTTTGTCTTTCTCATTAGGTAATCTACACAAGTGGTTCTTTTGTCCCAGAGGTTGTGCTTTTCTTCATGTAAGATCAGATCAAAAGGACATCATTAGACCAGTCATAGCCTCCAGCTTCTATCATAAAGGTTTCCCCGAAGAGTTTCTAACCCAAGGAACAAGAGATAACACTCCTTTCACTGTCGTACCTCAAGCAATGAGCTTTTATGAACGCTTGGGTGGAATTGTAAGATACTTTTGAGTTATTATAAAAAGTATTTTTTTGTAACCTTTAGGCTGGTATCCATGCTTACTGTGTTCCTCTCTTGAAATGGGCTGCAGACATGATGTCCGAACGTCTCGGAGAACCTCTCATTGCCGCCCCTAGTGACATGGTACCTCCTTATATGCGTGTTGTAAGATTTCCTGAGATCTTACAAGGAGACAGGACGAAAGCTCACGGGATCAAAGCTCAAACTATCCTCAGATACCAGTACAATACCACAGCCTGTATTGATGTCATTACTGGTGAGCTGTGGCTTAGACTCTCCTGTGCTGTATACAACAAAAGAGAGGATTATGAAAGATTAGCGGAAGCACTGCTGGATCTGAAGAACCATCCAGAGAAACTGGATTAGTTAATAAACTAGAACTTTTAATAACTGTGTATACTTTTTGAAGGATTGTACTTAAAAGATCATTTGAAAGAATGTTAGATTGACAAAACTACTTTTACAGGTTTTAATTTTTTATTAATTTAAAGTTAATTATGATCTTACGGTGCATTAAATAGTTATTCTTTCTACGTTTGTATCTATTTTAAGTTGATGTCAATTATTTTTTACATATCAGAAGAAAGTGAAGAGAGAGAATGTGTCAAGACACCTCTTATTGTGGGGCTGCGGTAATAGGAGCCACTGCTCCTGCTCCACCTGGCGGTTGCTGCTGCTGCTGCTGTTGAGTTTGGCCTTGCTGTGCCTTGAATAAAGAAAGAGAATAAATCTTGAAGAAAAAGAACAAAATATGACTAACTTTAGGTGTAGATTTCTGAACTGGTAGGTACAACTTAAACTCGGATGGAAGCTCATCTTCTGAATAAAGACGGTCGGAGAAATAGACACGCCTGATACGGCAGTTAGCATGAATCTAATGAAAAAGGAACCGATTGAAATACTCTTTTGTGATTAGCGCTACTCACGGCAATCTTAAGCGTCTCAATGTAATTGGTCCCGTAAGCTCTACGTGTGAAATCTGCTAAGTTGAATTGGATCTGGTTCCAACCATCGTCTAGTCTCATCGGCATTGTGCATATAAATGGCTTCACTCTTGTCGTTGATTGATAGTTTGAGGCTCTGAAACGTCTACGGACATTCTTATCATCAAGAACCTTGGGGGAGAGATTAATAGGGTGGGGACAGAATCAAAATGGCGTCTAATGTAAATGTACCTGGACCTCAAATGAAAAGTATTTTTTCATGTTTTTAATGATCATAACAAGGAATGGTAGCTTGATACCGAGGGTTTTCTGTGGGTCTGCCGGACAAGTTATGTAAGTAGTACTAATAAAAATGATAATAATAATTAATAATAATAATGGTATTTCTTCATACGAACCTAACATTAGTCCCACATATCTCTAAGACTAGTGACTGTATGTCGTTGTCTGTGATCCTCTTAATGTGTCCATTACGTACCTACTCAGAAAGAGAGAGGGAGAGAAAGAGGAACATGTCTTTTTTAAGTCATCATTTTTGTGCTCTTTACTTTCTTGTCCCAGATCTGGAGAGGTTTGCTCCCAATGCTGTAGAGGACAGAGAGAAATCCAGACTGGAACGTGTTCTTAAACATCTCCTCTCTCCCTCTCAAGGAGTTGTTTGGTTGCTATGGAAATGATTAGCACTCTGATTTTGTTTTGAATTTTTTAATTCAAAGAGAGCCACGCCCTTTTTTCTCATGAATATTGATTGACTAATTAAACTAGTTACCCGGGCTTGTGAAATACGCATGCGCAAAGCAAAGAATGCAATACATGTAATTAGTTTAATGGGAAAATTTTTTATTCAGCTTGATATAAATTTTATACATGTATGATTTCCAGTTACTAAATAATTGTATTCCTTGATAAATTGTGGTTCCATATTCTTATGATCCTCTTACCAACGAAATGAAAGTAGACAACCATACAGAAAACCATCAGAAAAAACGTAGGGGCTCGGCGAAGAAAAGGAGAGACAAGGTAAGTAATCCACAAGACCAGCAAGTGGAGAAGAACAAACGTCACAAAATGAAGCAGTGTCTCTAGACTTGCTCTCGAATGCAGACCACGAGAATGAAAAGAAATCGACATGTAAGAAATATAGCAAGCCGGTATATAGAAAAGGCACAGAAACATAATTGTCCACATCCCAAAAACGACGTAAGCCTCTCCAGGCCACATGAGGGTCGGGACCTGACAGAAAGCTAGATAATATGAAAGTGCAAGGACAGCAGTGGGGGTTATAAGCATGAACCAGTTGTCTTGTTCGGGTGAGACAAAAATGACAAACCTCTTGCAGTAAGGAGTCAGCGAAGGTAAACCAGGAAGGAATCGAATGGCAATCAATAACAAAGCCACAACTATAACTGGGATCCAATGATGGGGTTCCCACATTGAGGGATCGTTGAATCTACTTGGTAACCTTTGCCTGAATCCGTACCAAACCCAGTTAGCGTCACATATAGGGTAGGTCCACCATGAGTGGGGCTTAAGAGGACCGGCTGTGTAATGAAGTATGAATCTTTCTTCATCGGGAACAGCCCATTTACCGTACCACAGGTACAGAGCAAGATCAGAGTTATAACCTTCAGATAATCTCAGAGGTTCTTCATGATACTTAAGGTCATTTCGATCAAAGAGCCTAGCCCCTTTAAGGTTGTAGACAGTGTTGTAATACTCGTTAAGCATGTTCTGGTCTCCCCAAATGTTCCGCCCGCTGGGTAACGCCACGTTTGATTTCTCATCTGTATCCGGAAGCTCGAAATAATGAGAACTGAACGACATGATTCTCTTTAACTCGTCAAGCGATGGCTTAACGACCATTATTCCGGCGTTGAACAGATCAGAGTGACGAAACGTGACACAGAAGTTTCCGCATCGAGTCAAATGGTCGATGTTTTGAACCAAAACAGCGTCAGCATCCACCCAAAGTATCCGATTATACTCCGTCAGCGTCCACATTTGCATCTTGTGGATGCTGCCATCAAATTTGGCCTTTCCAGGATCAAAACGATCAATCATCTTTATCTTCCAGCCATCTTTCTTTAAGACTGCTATGGTTTCTTGCGGCACGTCTCTAGTACACATCACGACGTACTCGAGGGTGGTTTTAGATTCTCTTATAGACTGGCCTAGAACACGTACCCCAAGCTCAAAGCCAGTCCCATAGAGTATGGTCACCAGAGCTCCCCGGGGCTGCTCTTCATTCTTTATGTACTCTACTCCCTCGGAGAAATAAAAGGTGAGAAGGAGAATGATCAGGGGCGCTCTTAAAATCGCCATGTTGCAGAGATATAGCCTCCTTTGTCTTTGTCTTCTTTTAGCAACAACTCATAACAAGGGCCATTGCCTCGGCCATTGCTGTGCTGTAAAGATCAAAGAACTGTAATAAGTGGTCGTGGCTTCAAGATTAATATCAGTTTTAATTTTATTATTACCAAGAGTAAATTAAACAAAAGAATGTTAACAATAACGTGTGAAGAGGCAGTCAGTGCTTCCATAAAAGGCTCGAAAGCTCAGGTCTTGCTGATAGGATGCAAGGTAGATAAACACTTCTTCGAAAATGAAAACATTGTCAGTTATTGTAGATCTCAGACTCACAGTATCATGTGCTGTCAGTGACAAGTGATGGTGGTAATAATATCACTGAAAAAGCTAAACAGGTTTGTAATGTGGGAATTTTAAATTTACTAACCCCTGCCGATTAGATTTCGAGTACCCTCCCAGGGGGCATATATGTCCTCGGCGTTGCCATGGATACAAATCCGAAGCAACTCAAGACCCAGTTGAATTTAGTAAGAGGTTTATTAGCTTCAATTAAGAAGAAAAGCAGAGGAGGAGGAGGAGGAGGGAGGGATCAATCGCTATTGATATATTATTCACAGGAGTCAAAAAAGTAAATCAAACCGGAAAAATCACCAATATTATATAAGACTTAATTTTTGCATTTTTCTATTTTTTAAACTGAAGGCTACGTTGTTTGTCAGTAGACATTGATGACCCTCAGTCAGTTTTACAACTACCAGGCTCTGAAGTAAAGGCAACACAAAAAGAACTGCTTGTAGGACATGCCTATCTCTCCTTTGCAACTGAACAAGTTATTGAAATAAAAGGAAGAGATGCTAATGCTACTGGAATAAGTGGAGTATTGAATGATACTCTTGATCAGTGTGTTAGTAGTCTTAGAGATGCAGTAGCTATCAGTGATGGAGGGAGTATACCTAAGAATGATGAATGTGTCTCAGAATATGTTCGTGGTAACTGTATTGAAGTCAAATTCAATTGGAAAAATAACGTAAGATGAATTTGAAACTATATCTACTTATCCCTAAATAAAAACATACTGATAAACTATATGTGTTAGTATTTTCACTTTGCTCCTTTTTCTCTTCTCATTAGGCCAGTGATGTAGATTCACCTTTTGTCATTAGTGATGGGCTCAATGTAAAAGTAGAAGATGGTCTCCATTGCAAGGCTTATGTCCACGCTCAAGCAAAATGGCAACAACTAGTTGAAGTAGAAAAGCTCAAAAATTAACAATTATTATTATTATTATTTGTAGCTGTTGAAAGAAGATGCCATTAAAACTCTCACCATTCGCAAAGAAGCTATCCTTACTGAGCTGGTTGGGGATGGAGAGGAAGAAAGTGAAGAAGGAGAGAAAAGAAAAAGTTGGAAAACGTTCAAGTTAATGTTTCCAAGGAGGATCTGGTTCAAGGATGAAAGCAAGAAATACGAGTTATGCGAGATCGTCTTTCCCGAGGAAAACGAGGAAGAGGCAAAAGAAAATTTAAAAGAAATCTGGGGAGAAGGAATAATCTTGACATTGTCACATGGTGACGATAAAAATAGGAATGGAGAAGAATTTAAACCAATTTCAACCACAACGAAATCACAAAGTGACATTGCTATGAAGCCTGATCAAAAAAGAGGTAAGAAATTATGAAAAAAGGCAAAATATTACTCTCCCTTCCCCCCTCAATAGATAGCAAGCCTTCAAATTTAACCTATTACCTGCTAGCTATCCTTGTACTGTTATTGGCAATAGCAGTTATAATATTGCTACTTTAATTGTTAATAGTATTATCATTGTAAATATTAATGAAATAATTGATCAATGCTTTCCAGATAATCATGATTACTAGTATCATCATCAACTCTCTCTTTCTTTTTCTCTTGAACTTTTAAAAGCGAGTGAGAGTTATTGAGGCAGTTAGGTTTGATTGGAGGAGGAGGTTCTGTTGGTATGCAGACTTCCCTAACAAGTTTATAAAACCTGTTTAAAAATAATTAAATGATAATTAAAATACCAGTATATAAACATAATTACTAAGAAATTCATTATAGATGACATCATTGTATTAAATAAAATAATATAATGATACTGATAGATGCACATGTACATGTACACACTGTAACCTTTCTATCCTTTGAAAATTGTCTTCTAACTTTTCATTTGAGATTTTAACCAGATGACATAGATACTGTAAAATAATAATACACTTTGAGTTCATTCTGACAAAAATTTCATAGACAAAATATCATCATCATCATGTACAGTGTACTAGTACATTGGAGGGGCTTTTGTTCAATTTTGGAGCAACTTTAAAAATTCGTAAAAAATCCAATTTTGATCGGAATCAGCTCAAACTTCATACGCAACATAAGTACATGTATATGTATCAGAAAACGTTATAAAAATGGAGAATTCTTACCTTTTCATTTTTGGTGAAATTTCATCCAAGACCATGTACTTATAGTACAGGGACTTTTGTCTGATTTTGGAGCAACTTTAAAAATTCGTAAAAAATTGAATTTTGATCGGAATCAGCTCAAACTTTCTACGCAACATAAGTACATGTATATGCATCAGAAAACGTTATAAAAATGGAGAATTCTCACTTTTCATTTTTGGTGAAATTTGGCTCGAGACCATGTACTATAGTACAGGGACTTTTGCACAATTTTTGAGCAACTTTAAAAATTCGTAAAAATTCTAATTTTGATCGAAATCAGCTCAAACTTTCTACGCAACATAAGTACATGTATATGCATCAGAAAACGTTATAAAAATGGAGAATTCTCACCTTTTCATTTTTGGTGAAATTTGGCCCGAGACCATGTACTATAGTACAGGGACTTTTGTCCGATTTTAGAACAACTTTAAAAATTTGTAAAAAATCCAATTTTGATCGGAATCAGCTCAAACTTTCTACACAACATAAGTACATGTATATGCATCAGATAACATCATAAAAATGAAGAATTCTCACCTTTTCATTTTTGGTGAAATTTAGCCAAAGTCCCTGTACTATTATAGTACAGGGACTTTGGCCTAATTTAGAATTACATATATATTCACATACTTGTTCAGTCACAATTAGTTTTCCGTCAAATGCTACAGGAGATTGTAAAGTTTGAGTGCTACGCACTGACTAGAAACAAAAAATAAACTAGTACCATAATAATTATAGTACCAGTATCATCTTATTCTTCTTACTAACTGAAATACCGGAATTTTTAAACCCACTTGATACAGCTATCCTCAACTATAAATAAATTATTATTAATACGGTTTTATTAATTAATGACTGACTATTGCCTGTGCATGTTCTAAGGTCCTACATGAGACGTGAAGTACAAACGGTTCAAATTTATAATAAGTATAACAAGAGATTGGTATATCTCTGTCTTTCAATATGCTTAACTAAAAAGATTAAAATCAATTCATTTTGTTTAAAAGTTTACTTACTACATTGTCAATGCTGACGGTCTCATGAGATGTTAATAACCACAACGTACCCTCCTTGCCTGTCTGTGTATTCTAAATAATAATTATTAAAAATAATCAAATTAATTAATAAAATATAAACCTCAGAAAATACAATAATCCTTCCAGAGCAGGAACTGGTGGTGTAGTAGTCCTCTTGTTTGTTAATGTATTTCACTAATTCAATAACTGGAGCATCGATACTTCCCTTTCTACTGGCATCTTCCTTGTCTTCCAAAACTCTTTTCTTTTCTGAATCAAAATTATTGAATGTAGGAGTGGCCATTGATAGACACGTGGCAGCACGTGGTTAATTATTATGCGTGGGATTAACGCATGGGTGTGGCTTGTTATTAATGAGCCACGCCCGTTTGTGACAATTCATTTTTGCAGAAATGAAAGGTTTATTTGCAACAAAAACTGTACATTATTGAACAAAAATATTACATCATTTATTGATAAAGACCATTAGGTCCTAGCTGGTCATTCGGCTTCACTCCTTTTCTGCATGTGGACACTATCCATTCATGTTCATTAAGATCTACCAAAACAATCAAAAATAATAATAAATTAATAATCACAGGAGTTGCTAAGTGTTTTATTGCACCTGCATGTCTAAGGAATTCTTCAGTTCCGTATTTGTGTATGACGTGATTCTCAGGATTGTACATTCCATCTCCAGTATCAAACCAACCTAGTGGTATTGTTCTATCTATTGAATCGTCATCTCTTTTCTGTGTACGCCCTGTTAAAAAAAAAGGAATCAAAATATTGTTTCTATTTCTTTTTTGTGTTTGCCTGCAGGTTTTAGTCCGTTGCATATCTCTGTGTAGAATCTTCTGTCTTTCTCTTGGCAGTAATTCCAAGCTATTTCGTCATGCTTTAAACCATCTTTAAACGTATACACTCCCTTTTATAAAGAAAGAAGAAGAAACATTAGTAAAAGGATTATTCTTCTTGAATAGCATCTTTGATTTTGTCAAACTTACTCCATTCCCTGATTGTGGTGTCACTGCTTCACCATTGACCCAATCTGCTGTGAATGTTCCTCCATTAGGAAATATCAGCTTTCCCTTTCCGTGAAACCTAGACAATGACAAAGATTCTCAACTCTACAACCTCTTCTATGCTCAACTTACATTCCATCTTTAAAGTGTCCCTTGTAGACAGTCCCAGTGCTAAAAATATACTCACCAAAACCTGTCATTCTATTATTTATACTATTATCTTTCCATCTTTGCTATTATCCATTACCTTCCCAGTTTAGTCTCGCCAATATACTTGCTTCCAGTGGTGTATACCTGCTCCGCCATGTTGTTGTCTCGTTGCTATGCAACTAATCTCATTACGTCATTATTAGTAATGGACAAAATGGCAGACTTTTATCTATGGTTCATAGTACATGTTTACGTGTTTAGTTTCCTTTTTAGACATACAGAAGACTAAGAAAGCATTCTTTGTTATCATAAAAGTATCACAGCCTATTTTACTGGCGCCCATATTTAGAGTAGCCACAATAAGGCTTTGCTTGGGTGTGGTTACTCCGCCCACGACATCACAGCTCATAAAATGCAAGGCCCAAGGAAGTAACCTCAGTCATTCCCGTCCATATCTCTCCAAATCAAAACAATATTTGCAGCAAAGGATTTAGCAAAGCTCCCTCTACGCCATGTCTCTCAAAGAAATGATAGAGTTTTGGAAGAAGGGGGTTGACGAGGCTCAGCAGGGCCGACATTCAGAGGCGATAAAATCCTTCCTAGACATGCCAGAGCCGGGGGCTAGGATCTACTTTAACATTGCAAACATGTACGTGTGTCTGGGGAACATTGAAGAAGCAGAAAAGGTGAGAAAAACAGGGAATTATTTTATTGTAAAAATTAATTTAATTTGGGAGTTGTATTGTTGTTATTGTTTATATATTTAATGTCTGCTTTTGTTTTTCCTGTAGAGTTTAAATGTTTGTGTCAAGAAAGACCCCAATCTTGCTATTGGTTATTTCCAAAGAGGATGTCTTCACATTGTGAACAAAAAGTAAGAGAAGATCTGAAGATGATAATGAGAGAGGAGGCGGCAGTGAGAGTGAGAGTCTGTATATGTACGTGTTCCTGCATGTAATCCATTGTTTGATGTTTTCAAAACAAAGCCTTAAATGTGTACTGTTATCTACTTATCTCACTCATTTCTCCTCTCTCTCCCTCTCTTCCCACCTCCCCCTCTCTCTCTCTTTCCCCAGGTATAGAGAGGCCATTTGTGATTTTGATTTAGCAATAAAGAACTTAAGAGGAAACCTACTGATAGACTACAAGCAGCTGGGACTCATTTATAAACTATACACTGCAGAAGTGAGCTCTAATTATGTATAACAAAGCAATACAAAAAATACGTGTGCAGTAAATGTACAGGATGTATATATTATTAGTTAATTGTCAGTAATTTAATTGTTTTGATTGATACTTCCACCTATTTAACATTGTTTCCAAATGAATTTACCTTCATTTTCAGTCTTGTTTGTTTTCATGTACATGTATTTATTTTTATTCTTCTTTAGGTGTTGTATAACAAAGCTTACTGTCTGTGGCAGATCAATGAGAGGTCAGAGTCTAAGCGTCTCTTGAATGAAGCACTCGCAAGTGCAGCTGAATGTTCTGAGTCTCGCCACAGAGTCGTATCAACTGCTTTGGATCAGATCAAAGTAAAAACAACAACAACAACAACAACAATAATAATAATAATAATAATAATAATATTTTTATAAGTACCTGATACATGTAATATGAGGATGTACGTGTACAATGATAGCAAATTGTTTATTTTGCCTGTGGCATCAATTAGAATAGCCATGACATGTTAATTAAAAGTGTTTATCATTTCATAGAGAGGTGAAGATTTCTTGCCTTATCGCCTTCCAAAGACGGCCCAGGTATTTGTGCCTCCGAGATCAAAGACAGACGTTGTGAATAATATTGACTTCCTTGGAAAGGCAAAGGTAAAGAAGAGACTGTAGACTAATTGTAACCTTTGAATTTATAATTATCATACATGTGTACACGTAATATGATATTTTTAACATTTTAAGCATTTTAGCCTTTTTGGACTGTTAGCTAATGTGTCCCTTTCATCCAAAGCATATTGTTATTATATATGTACGGTCAATTGTACCCTTTTATTGTGTAATGAAAGCATTGCACTATATTACTACTACTATCATCATTTGTAACTTCTCTCTCTCTCTCCCTCTTATCAGGTTGTGTCATCAGTTGTTGATCAAGATGACTTCACTGGTTTCGTAGGAGCACAGAAGAACAAGGAGTCAAGATCCCCTAGCCCAGCCGTCAGAAAAGACCTTCCTCCTCATTCTTCAATCACGAGGAGCAAATCCAGTGAGCCACCACCAAAACCAAACCCACCAACCACAAGGAAATACAGCCCGCCTTCTGCTAAAGGTACTACATTTATATTTTTATAACAAGCATTTATTTAATTTTTATTTTTAGATGCAAAGATGCGGCCACCTAAGCCCAGTATGGCCCCGCCCTCTTTCCGACACCCAAGTCGTTCTCCAAATCTTTCTCCAAGTTCCGAACACTCACCAACCAATTCTCGTTCCCCCTCCCCCTATGGTGCTAGTGCCATGACTATTAAAGTCCATTACACGACTACTAGAGCTATTCGTGTGGCTAGTAGCATTAGTTATCAGAAACTGGTTCATCTTATATGCAGGAAGTTCGATAAATCTGATAACAGTATCACGTTATGGTAAGAGAATAGCAACAATAACGACAAATAGTTTAAGTATTGAATCACATAAACATGTGTGTTTAACCAGTTTGACTAGTTTTCTTATCTTGTTTGACCAGTTTTCTATAAGTTTAAATTGCCCTTTGGGCCATTTATTGCAATGGTTCAATATCTTGACTTAAACTATGTTTACACTAGCTTCTTTAACTGAGCCAGCCCTGTTTAAAGTAGGCCAGCACAGTTTCATTTGATAGTGTAAACAGTAACCAAACTGAGCTAAAGTGAGCTGGGCCAAACCAGGCCAGCATGGTTAGTACAACAGGGCCAGCTCAGCCTGGTTTAGCACGGTTTGGCCCACTTCTGTAGTGTAAACGTAATATTAGTATCCTCTGATTACTGTAATATTTTGTCTCTCACTCTGATATTAGATGCATTTAAATGTACTTGTACATACATGTATGTCAATGGGGTCAATGGGTTAATACTGTGTTGTCTCTAAAGTTAAAAGCAGCATGTAATTACAAGTATCTTGTGTTAATTTTAGTCAGATGCTTCAGTAAATGCAATACGTTTTATTAATTAGATTTTATAGTAAATATATTGCTTTGTGGTTTGGACTCCATCTCTTGTGGTAAAGTGATAAAATGAGAGGAGAGAGGAAAGGGAAGAGATAAGATAGAGCAGCAGAGAGTGAGTATAGTAGCCATTTTACCTGAGCAGAGAGAGAGAGAGAGAATAAAGAATGAAGATCATACATGTAGATCCACCATTACTTAGCAAACAGGAATTTACTATTTACAATGTTTAATAAAGATGATAATAGAAGTGAAATTTTAAGACCCAATGAAAAATGAACAAATACTACTCCAGAATATCAGTGAGCATTCTACCAGGTTGAATGAAAAGGCTATAGCCAGTGATTATAAGTAGAATAGTATAGCCAGTCTTATACAGTAATAGACCAGAAGAAAGTTACTATCATTTGTACATGTGTAGGTTTAAATGCAGTGATACAGGTGATCGTATACAGCTAACAGATGAGAAGACACTAGTATCAGCTTGTAAAG